ATGAAAGAAGAAGACCCCCCCCTCACAAAGGAAATTATGGAGGCCGCCATGACTCGCATGACCGATTGCGAAATCTCGCACTTCTTTTCCATTCTTTGAGATAGGGTATATACTAAAATCAAGATTATATGTAGGTGCACAAAATCCGGTTAAACTGCGGACACCTTCGGTAGTTTCATTTCGGGCAGTGCTGAGATGTATTTGGTTATGGTCCCTAGTCATTTTTTGATGGTAATGTCGCTTTGGAAAACGAAGATTCTTGTAAACATTAAATTGGATTATCATGTCTAAGACCACAACTCCTTCGGGACTGGCTCAGGCACATTTTATCTAGTTGAGGGAGGAAATTTTAATGGTTGATGGGGGAATTGATAATAGCTTATAAGATCTGATTATGAATATTAGAAATCAGCAGGACTTTTTTACCTTATTCGTTCTAGAAGAGCAATGTTTCTCCATTGTGATTTTTGGGGGTCATAGCATCGTAGAATGAAAAAAACACGATGCGGTAAGGTAAGAAATTATAGAGACTCATAAGGCGGATTAAGGCGACAGGCACTGCTTCATTTCATGAGTCATGCATTAGTAGTATACATTTGTACGTTTCCAAAACGCAATGCTACGTATACTATGTTCGGTCACCGGTAATTGCACCAGAGTGTGCTTCTAAGCAAAATTCTTTCCTGTTCTAATGCTGAGCTTCATTTACAGTAGCATACCGTTTTGGTTTGTCGTAGATATTGTAGTAGAACTTCTCCATATAATGCATAATCATCAGAGTATTAATCCAGAGATTGTTGAAATAGCTTCCGTTTTGCAATATTATAATCTCTGTAAAACAACAGTCATGTTTCATATCTGCAGTATAGTTGCTGGAAAGCACAGTTTACGATAAAGACGGTTCTCGAAATATACTTATAGAGTGGGTCTTCGCCCCCCCCCCCCCCCCCCCCCCCCCCCCCCCCCCCCCCCNCTCCCCCTCTCCCCTCCTCCCTCCCCCTCCCCTCCTCCCCTCCTCCGCACTCCCTATCCTCACTCCTTACTCCCCTTCTCGCCTGCACAATAGCATATGAGACGAAACCGAAGTCAAAAGCGGCATAGTTAGGATGTTATAGGAATTTAGCAATTGTACGAGTTGTGTGCCACGCCCCTCGGTGGCCAGGATCTGAGAACCTTGCCCATGCACCACTGTTCTCATTGGGGCAGCTTTGTTGGCAATGCAATCAGCTGATCATCGTGGCCTAACTTATATTTTGGACCACTCTCTAATTCTACTGCTGCTCCTCGTAACTAATATTATTCAGAATATCCGATCTGAAAGAGTAGTAGTAAGTAAGAGATTAGTGCAAAATAAAATCACCTGTGCCGAGATCATCGGCTGGTTGGATGAAACTTTAGACATTTCTGGCTTACTGAAGCCAACAGTACTCAATGACACAAACATTTATCAGCTCGCTTTAAGATCTCTTCCATGCAACTTTTGCAGTCACATTATTGGTCAACCCTCAGTTGTGCTAGTTTTTTGAGGCCTCATCTTTCTCTGAATACGCCAATTTTTTCTTTACCACGTCTGCTTTATTCTAGACTATTACTTCCTTTATTCATCTAACGAGGGAGGATACTCGGTCGCAGTGGCCATTCAAGATAGGATGTATACCGCCGAAAGTGGTTTTGAACGCTCAAATCTGCGTTTCAAATCTGATAAACGATTTCGGGAACAATGTTACGGGGCAACGCCTCCCTGTGTTATGCAATTGTACCGAGCGAATCACTGAGCCGAGCAAAGACATAGCTGTGCAATGGCGGCGCAGCCGGTAGGATGGTGGACTGGTTGGCATGACATCAAGATTCGACTCCTTGATGCATGCACTCGTTTTGATTTTCGATGAAATGCGTCCTAAGCGCTTGCAAAACGTTGTAACGTTTTTGGGTTCAATGTTGGGCATCTACGGAGCTCCCTCTTGATTTAGAGTTTCCGAGAATAGTAATCCTATAAAAATTTTTCTACCACTACTGACCGAATAGATATGTCTCTCTACCCCGAACGGACTAGATGGTGTTCCGAAACTTTCGGCAGCTCGCTGTACGATTGGAGGCGGTCAAAAGACCTCTATGGGCTTTTGCTGTTAATATGAACCGGCATCCAGTGGAATAGACTGTCGTGCAATCAGATTCCTATACAAATTTTATGGTAACTTATCCTTCCAACTTATCTGCTATTTTCCATAGGTAGACAGATCGGTCCGCTTGTATGGCACCTGATAGTTGCAACCATAGAAGACAGCGTAAGTTTTCGATAAGGGACTAGTTGGAAAGCTCATGCCCACTCGCATTTCCCCTCAAATTTCGTTGACGGCATTCTTTCGTGATGATACAAAGCGTGTTTCTCATATACGAGGAAATGCGGCTTCTTTTGACACTCAACCTATGGAAGGCCACGGACTCATCTACCAGCGCCGTATAATTGGAGCTCATGGGCCAGTTCACACATTTGCATGCTGCCTTTACTCATTGGGACTCTATATTCTCACAAACATACGAGGTTTCTCTCGCGAAGTGATGGATCCATGTCGCTGTTATCATCAGGCAACCGCAGAGGATCATTGTGGTCGTTTTCCACGGTCTCGACTTTCCCGCAGCGGATAAAGAGCTTGTTTTTATAGCATCGGAATGATGGTTGAAAAGTTCTTCATTACTTCCCGTTCCCTCCTAGATCATGCTCATGTTATGCTGCAAGAAATCGCATCATCAATACGATGACACCACCTTCGGCTGGGATATTTCGCGGTAACATGTTGAGGAGCGTTTGATCCGGTGAACCTTTGAATTCTTTCTTCTTGATGCCTCTGCAACCTACTTTGAGCGAATGTTCAGATTCCTCTTTTGCTCGAATAAAGGTCCACCCTTATTCCGCCGATGAGATGCGAAAAATAGTCCCTTGTGAAACTTTTCCAGTTTCCTAAATTGTCAGGGAGCTCCGCAGATGCGCAACCTTGAGCTCAAAAACGTTTTTCAGGCTTTTAGAATGCATTTTATTGAAAATGCAAAACCAGCGCATGCATCAAGGAGTCGAACCTTAATGTCATGCCTGCACTTCACCATACTACCGGTTGCGTCACCATTGCAATTTTAGGCTTTGCTCGGCTCGGTGATCCGTTTGGTACGGTGGTATAACACAGGAAAGCATTGGTTCTTCACCTTTTTCCCACGGTTGTTTAGCAGGTTTGGTACAGATCTGAGATCAGCATTTGAAACCGCCTAAGGCGGTATACATCTCATCTTGAATGGTCGTTGCGCCCTAGTACCCTGTCCCAGTTAATCCAGGTAACCCAAAATCATCGTGAGCCAGGCTTTCAATCAAGCTCTAGCGTCCGTAATGCTTGATTGCGTGGCAACCATGTAAAAATCAATTTGTCATTCAATCTAAGCCTTTGTTCCACGCTGGAATTTCTTTATAGAGACTATAATTTGTTTTACACCTATATTTCAATACCTGTTCTTCGGCAACCTATGTAACAGAGATGAAAAAGCACTTTTCTTCTCTGTAGCTTGTAGCTTTTTGAAATAGGTAAGGTGTCCTTCTTTCGACTACGGCTTTCTTCCATTGGGAATGGATAATGTAGGTCTTTAATCAATAGATGTTGAGCTTTAAAAAGCATTGTCCATGATATTCAGGTGTGCATATGGTTCAGATGAACCATGAAAGTTATTCTGCAGAGTAGTGCAAAACGGCGAGGATAGCGTGAAAATTGACGCATTTAAAAAAAAAGTGCAAGGCTCCAAAAAATGTAATGAAAAGGGATAGTACGAGATTATGACGGCAGAAGCGACAGAAAAGGGATTGGAAGAGATGTCTGTTATCGCAGTAGCGTAAGGTGGTGGTTTCAGAGATCAAAAGTGACAAGAAATTCCAGTTGGTGCATTTATAGTACTGACGGCATAGCTCATAGCAAAAAAATTCTTTGGAAAGCAAAAAGGAGACGTATAATTGCAGTGCCATCATGAAAGCGTCGCCTCCTGCAACCGTCTGGGTGTCATTCAAGCGTAACATTCGTCTCCGTCCTAACGCCTCATGTGAATAGTAGCTTTAACAAGACCACCACTCCACAACCATTTTTGAAAGTGTGCGACGACCAAACTGGTTTCGGAGCCCCCATCACGCCCTGTCTTGGCATTTTTCGGCCCGACAATGCTTTTTGTACTATTCATAGAGGCCACAGTTTGATCTAGAGAAGAACCTCAGAAACCACTTTTTATCGTGAACGTTCATTATATTACAGAGCGTTTTCTTTTGTGTCAAGTCTGACTTTGACGTTGGGCCAACGTTATCCTTCCTTATACATACTGCAACTTCCAGCGTAGAGTTTAGAGAACAAGACAGAGCCACGAAGCAGAATACATCAGAAAAGAAGGACTAAATGGGATGCAGCAGGGTTTCTGAAATAGGGCCTTCCATTCACAAGAAGTTTTTCGTTTGTTTCTGTTTATCTCATTGCAACTAAATATTGCCGTCATTATTCCGATTATTATGCACGTTATGCATTCGAAGTTGTGCCTAAGCAAATGTGCGAGGAACGGGATGCCGGTCCCTTGCTTGAGGTCTCCGTTGTCCGTCGGCCCGAGGTCGCGGTTGAATTTTTCTAAACGCATTAGGTTGCGCACAGCAAGCCCAGGTACATTACATCTAAGTCGTCGCGTTTTCTACTAAGGACAGGGCTCACTCGGGAAATACCCGCCCGCCAAAGGGGAGGCGTCGTGTCGCCTTGCTACACGCTTTCATCACCACCATCAGATGTCGGCTCGGCTTGTATGATCCGAAGCCTCTCATCTGATTCCTACTGCTTGACGGTGTTTTGCGTTGGAGCCTTCATCATTTTTTATAATTGATATTTATATGGATATCTATGTATATCACTATACTTCAACGGCATGTCTTTGTGTGCAAACTTCTGAGAGTAGGCCACCTCAGCACTCTCTGATCCAGAGCGGCTACAGCCACGATGGTGAAGACTCAGCAGTGGACCTGGCAAGGCGTTGTTGAGACTCCAGGGAGCAAGCTTGCTAAAGCAGCAATAAAACAGCTTGAGTGCCGCGCAAACTGGGCCCATCTGTCTTCGGCGTGGGACCGTACGGTAACCGGTGAGACGCGAGAAAATCTCGGGTCGCACAGAACGACTTGGATTTCGGGCTATGGCAGCTCTCCCTCTACACGACACGGAGACTTTACGCCTACAACGCGAAAACAGTCTCTTCCAATTCGCTCTCCATGAGCTTCTCAATGCGACTAGACAAGACCAGGAGGATCGGAGTGAGACGAATGAACGATTATCTTCATCATTCTTGTTGAAAAGCTTCTAGCGGGAAACGTCGGCGACGTTGGTTTTGTCGTGCATCCATCTGTCGTCCAACTCGTCATTGCGAGATGCTGTCTCCTCGCTTTGTTATCCTACGCTTACGATATACACACCTAAAGACCAACCCTATCGTCAACTGCTAATCCCCACACTACAGCTGACGAACTAGAACTCGATGCGTTTTACGACCAACTTGAGGAGATCATCCTTAACGAAAAGTCCTCTACAAATTTGTTGTTGGAGATTTCAACGCTGGGAGGAGGAGGAGTTAGGAATGGGAAGTCCGGAAACCGTCTAGCTAGACTTCTGTCCGCGGCTCTTCCATGGCAGTATTTCTTTCAGAAGCAAGGACATCACCGCTGGTCATGGAAGTCTCCAAGCGGTACAGTTCATGCTGAACTGGACCGCTTATTAACCCATTAACGACCGCGTGCCCCGCCGGCAGGTCACACCATTTCGTGCTCCTGTAGTATTTATACTATTTACTGTTCTGCTCTTATAATTTTTCTCATGTTTTCAAGTATCAGCTGAGCTCGCAACCTTCTGGAGAATCTTGAGACATTGTGGTCCAGGAATCATTCACTTCCAACTACAGTTATAAGAGAAATTAAAAGTTAATGTAAGGAGAATGTAGAAGGCGTGGTCGCCAATGGGTTAATCATTACCAGAAATCGTTCCGGGAAATTTTTACGAGCTTTGCATTTGGAAATGCTAATGGCGACCGTCTTCCCAAAATATCTCATTTTTTGACAACGAACGAAAAATTCACCAAGGTAATGTACTCCTTCGAAAAAAATAACCTTTACAATGGCAAAATTAGATGATTTTCTAGGACCACGCTGTATGTAGTTTCATTTAGGCCTCATGTAATGTTTTGAGAAGAAGAATTGAAAGAAAGTGGAAGTTTAGATGAATAAAACAAAAAATACAACTGCAATCCACATGTGGACTGCGCGGCCGTCAATGGATTAACGAACAGAAAATGGTGCTTACTAGATGTTGGTGTGGTACCGTCTTTCTGCAGTTTTTCTGTTCATCCTCTTGAGCAGAAAAGCTGCATCCTCCAGAACATCCAAAACTCCAGAAAAAAACTGCATTGCTCCTTTGCGCTAAGATCAGTTCCACCCGCAAGCTGAGAAAATCTCTCAAACTGTGCAAATGACCTGGAGCATGTTGTATACGACGGAGATGAATGACGCTTTGTCGATGTGAGTGGGAGGTCTCGGATGACACGACCGGAAACTTCGGAGTCCCTCACTTGTGCTACGCAAGCCGAGCTTCCTCGAGTGGATACCTCCGCTCGCGTTTCAGATGCGACGGAGAATTTCCTCAGGGACAGAAAAACCCGAGGCTCGACCAGAATGTCACACTTCTTGAAATGCTGCAAGCAAATATCAGTCGCAGGCTAGCAGTGCGGCGAGACCTTTAGCTTTGGAGGCAGAGGAGACCATGAAGGCAGGCTCGAACAGAACCAGTTTGAAAGAGTGCTATCGTGAACTTCAGGACCAAGTATTCCCTTTCTTGTATGAACATCGGGGACGGGACATCTACAACATCGAGATTTGAGTTGAAAAAATGGGTTTTGCACTACTCTGTACCGATCCACGACCCTCGTGCGAAAACCAAAATTCCCACTGGCTAAACAGCACCGCGGATCTTTCCTTTGAAGGTGAAATGAAAAGGGATGAAATGAAACGAGATGAAAAGGGACATTATCCTAGGTCCAGACAAGATTCAGCCGACCTATTTCGTGCAGGTAGCTACGAACTTCATGCGCTTCTCGCAAAGCCCATGACATCTTACCTCCAGAAGGAAAAGTTCCCAACCAGTGGACGAACTCGCGGATGGTCACTCTTCACAAGAAGGGAGACCTGGATGAACTCCGCAATTACCGCTCAATAAGCTTGGTAAGTGTGCTCTACAAGCTGTTCACGAAGATTGTTCTAACCCGCATATTGCAAAGTTTGGATGAGGCTCAACCTTTAGAGCAGGCCGATTCCGTAAGGGACTCGTCTGTTTAAACCTTCAAGTGGTTGCGATGGACATCGAAGTGTGCCGATAATAGTGAATGCCTTGCCCTCACCTTTGTTGACTATGAAATAGCTTTTGACAGCGTCGAAACGAATGCGGTCTTGTCAGCGCTGGTCCATCAAGGAGTAGACCCTCCTTACAAAGGAATACTAGCTTACTGCAGTTTGAACGCTGCATCGCCACGGTGAAGCTGTTCCTACGACCTCCCGCCATTCCCATACGGAAGGGAGTGAGACAAGGCGACTTTATTCCGCTGAAGCTGTTCACAGCCGCGTTGCAGTGAGTTATGTAGTCGCTGGGCTGGACGAAAAGGGCATTTGTGTGGATCCTGCGGTGTGGCGGAAGCTGATATTATGCTTGCTGAGCTCAACAAAACAAGAAAGAATGTAGGGCTCAGCCTAATAAAGACACAGTTTATCTAGTATGCTGGGGCCCTCGAGGGTCAATCTAAGGTCGATGGTACACCTAACAAAGAGACGTCGTCCTACGTCTATCTCGGGCCGTTCCATGAATATGGATAACGACATGAGGGAAGAACTAATGACTACGGCAACTAACTACGGCAGTAAGCAGCGTGGGAAGCCTCCGGGCGTCTGAAAGAGGTCACCAGCCATCTGGCTGACCCGAAATCTGTTGCGCACTGATGCGCATAATCTATTCGATTGCACAGTTCTTCCTGCACTCTGTTGCGGGAGGCTTGGGTGACCATTGCATCCAGTCAATGGTTTTGAGCACAAGTCGCAGAACGCTTGAGCAATGTCTTTCGAGGCCCAACCGTCTCACTCAATATCGAGCCGGACTCCGCAGCGACTTCGCGATCCTGTGAAATACATAAAAAACGCAAAAATTTGGTGGGCTGGTCAATAATGAGAGGAGATGATGAAAAATAGACGACGAGTACAGTCGAGTGGACCTAGTAGACCCGTAGGATCTTTATGATTTAAGGGTAGTCCTGCTGCGAGGTGGGGGGGGGGGGGGGGGGGGATGTGCTCGTAAAACGTAAAACAGCTGCGGAAGCAGCTGTACGATTGCTCACATCGCCATCTTCATCGAATTCTGAGTCTGTCATGGATAGCGATCGCAAATGACGGAAGGGAATGGTTTGGTGCTGGCGCTCGCACACGTGAAGACGAGCCGTATAAGTAAGTTATTCCGAACAGTTATGTGTATTATATTGCTTACCAGGCCAAAAAGGACCTCAAAAAATGCTCCAAAACCATGGTACTCTGGTAGTGACCGCGACGGCCTTCTCAAAGCTGCACCGCACACAATGAAGCATTAATTAGCCGACGGATAGTAGGCCTACTCAAGAGACACCGACAATCACAAATACGTAATCTCGTACAATCCCTTCTTTCACTACATTTTCGAAGCTTTACTTTTCTTAGAATTTGCCTATTCCTCTCGCTTTCTTACAATTTGCTATTCATCATAGCATCTCAGCTCCCATTATTTCATTTGAGCTAATTAACGTAGAATCATCGTGAACTGTGCTTTTTTGAGGAACTGATGCGATGACTCACTTTGATGTTTAGTTTCCTTCGGTATAGCTGATTCAACGTCCTTTGATATACAAATGGAATGACTCCCATCGAGTATTCTGGCCTCCTCGTAGTTTTCGAGGCTTTTCCAGAACCGTAACCATTGCTCTCTGTATGGATCAGTTTCATTGGATTGGAATGTGTCATCTGAAAGAAGTTTATGTGTGGGGAAAAGCAGTCTTGTACTGTCTCTAGTAAGCCATTGTGGGCAACTGTGTGGTTATACAGCTTGTGAAATGGAATATCGACCCAAAAAATGTGCTCACAAGCTATAGATCGAAATCGTTGAACAACAAAAAAAAGCAGATGTTCCTAGTGTTATCCCATTTGCTGGGTGCGCATGGTTACTAGAAATATAACTGAAATAGCACTATTGATTACTCACAGGAAGCAAACTTCAGGAGCTGGAAGACGATATTTGAGACAGTCGGTTTGTATGTAAAGCTTCGTTGAAGGCACAGTTTACGATAACTTCGGGTAATCCAGATGATGGCGAAAAGTGGAAGATAAGGTAGAATATTGTGAGGAAGGAAAATAAGCTGCGTGAATCGGTGTTTCCCAAGTGGAAAAAAGCTTCAAAAAATCGTTAAAGAAAGGACTGGACGAGACTGAGACCAGGAAAATGAAGAAGAATGGGGCGTTTGGACAAGCTATACAATGTGTATCATTGCGTACGTGTGGGTCCTGGTGCGAATAGCTGACTACGGTAGGCGAAAACTCATAAGCGTAGGTTAACAAAAAAGCCCTAATAACAGCAAAAACAGCCTACCTTTTTCTTTGCCTTTTGTGGTAGAAAATTAAATAGGGGGATCGCAGCAGCAAAGAGTTACCCTTGGCGGCCACTGGGAGAGGGAGGACTCAGAACCCGTCTTTAGCGTGAACTGTGCCTTCAAAGACTCAGAACTGTTTCAGAACATCCATTGTCACCGAGATGGCCCGTCATGTCATAAGGTGTACCACTCGGATCGCCTGACTGATGCCGGGCTCTCTTCTTTTCGAGATCTAAAGCCTGTGTGCGCCTCGCTCGCCGTGAGCGGCTTCCTGCTCAGGTCCTGTGAGTAAAAGTAACCCGGTTCATTCCTCACTTGTTCTAACCTGAGGTCGTATTTATACTTAGACTGCACTCCCAGACGTTCCGCTCTCCTCCTACATTCCCCCTCTCAGGCAGGTACACTTCAGCCCAGTCATTTCCTACCACCTACCCTCAGCCCTCAGTGTTCCTATACTGCAGACTGTGTTCCTAGCAAATTTGAATGCCCACAGTCTGAATTGCCAGTGTCCACGCACGCCCCGCCTACTTTGAGCGCAGTCCGATCCTGCTACCCACCGCAAGTGTTCCTGTCCTGCCTCCTGTACACCCAAAAAATTTGAGCGCTCTAGGTCCAAGAGAGCAGGAATTATGAGTTTTCGGCCACACACACACTCACAAAAATACACACACACTCACAAGAACACAAACACGACACACACAGATATTAGCACGTTATATATCCCTCCTATATAATCGGCTAAGTGTGTCTGTTGGTGTGTTTGTGTGTGTGTGTCAGTATGTGTGTGTTTGTCTGACCGGAAATTCATAACTCCTGTCCCACTGAACCTAGAACATTCAAATTTGGAAGAGATATAGACATCAGGATGGGAACACGGATGGTAGGGGGTAGAAGGTGACAACAATTGATAGGAAGTGATAAGGAGCCTTAAAAGGCAAGAGCCACAGAACATATATTTCCCTTTGTATTAACGATGAAGTCTTG